TCGCTTATCTAAATAAAAACCAAGAATTCAGTTCGTACCGCGAAGAAAACACTACACTTCACCGTTACAAAGATCAACTTGTTATCGCTGTTTAAGGAAATAATCGCTTATCTAAATAGAAACCAAGAATTCAGTTCGTACCGCGAAGAAAACACTACACTTCACCGTTACAAAGATCAACTGGTTAACGCTGTTTAAGGAAATCGTCGCTTATCTAAATAAAAACCAAGAATTCAGTTCGTACCGCGAAGAAAACACTACACTTCACCGTTACAAAGATCAACTGGTTAACGCTGTTTAAGGAAATCGTCGCTTATCTAAATAAAAACCAAGAATTCAGTTCGTACCGCGAAGAAAACACTACACTTCACCGTTACAAAGATCAACTTGTTATCGCTGTTTAAGGAAATAATCGCTTATCTAAATAGAAACCAAGAATTCAGTTCGTACCGCGAAGAAAACACTACACTTCACCGTTACAAAGATCAACTGGTTAACGCTGTTTAAGGAAATAATCGCTGTTTACAATGAGTATCATACGAAACCCATAAATACACAATGCAGAGTTAATGATTGTTAAATAATGCGGTATATATAGTTACCATTATGTTTTGAAGGGGGAAAAATAAGGTACTGAGTGGTACGTTTAAAGATTATGAAGAGTTAAACTTCATATCTTTTAATATCACACTTATTTCTTAATTCACGTCAATTACACTTCAGTAAAAAAAAACCCTTCAGATACCGCAATGAGTGACCTAATCTAAGGCGATGTCCCCGGTATCTGCCTTGAGGGACTGAAGAAAACCAAAGACCATTTAAAGCAATCACACGCTCCAGTCCAGAAAATAAGAGTGGAAAGGTGTAATTTATACCTGAGTAGCTTACACAATGTCCACGAGCTACCTTAACTGTTTTGTCGTCTTACGATAAAAACTGAAAAACACCGTGGAATTTAGTGGTTTTCACTGTAACGACAGTCAAAACAACAAGGAAACATGATTAAAATTCTAATTTTTGACTTCATGACTTAACACCTCATTCCTTTATCAGAAAATGATAGGATAACATATATATATATAGTTTCAAACAGGAAACGTCGAATTTTGTTTACGTCGTTCGTCATCTTAAATTCACAAACATAAAATTTAAAATTCTGTGCAGTTTAACAGCGCGTAAACTGGGAGGAAAGTGAGAAACAGTATTTATGAAAGGGGTTTTATCTATCGGTGCCTGGACACAGAACAAATATACCCCGAACTATTCTTGACTTGCAACCCATTCGAACTCTGGCAAATGCTTATGAATGCGCGCGCAACTAACGACAGCTGCGCTTAGCAGGATTTTTTTTGTTAACTTCTCAATTCGACTTGAGCTAAATGGACTTGGTCAACTAGGATCAAGCCAGCCTGAACAATGGGCACACTATCCTAGGACGCAACCAGCATGTCTCCACGTCCACGTGTGTTGTTATTATTATTATTATTATTATTATTTAGTGTTCTGTCTGACGACAGGTCCATATGAACAGGATCCTTCCATCCTTTTCTCGGACTGGGACCTGTTCATATACGTTCTTGGCACATGATCCAGAAGTGGTTTGCCATTGCCTTCGTCTGTGTGTGAATGGAGTAATTGTTGCGATGCCACGGAG